TAGGGGAGAGTGAATCAGGGAAACCACCCCGGGCTCCGCACTTTGGGGGGCCCCGCAGAGACGGGCGGAGTGGCCGCAGCAACTCCGTGCTGCCACTGGCTTCACATCCAGATGCTCAGCACTCCCCCACCCCTTGCCACTGAATCTGCCACCAGCTTCCTCACATCCAGTGCAAGCCCCTGCTTAAAGGCCATCCCCAAACAGATCATTGAACCAAGGCTTTGTCAAGCCATGTCTTAAAAACCTGCAAGGGTGGAGATTCCACAATCTCTCTGTGTAACCTGTTCCAGTGCTTTACTGCCCTCCTGATAAGAAAGTTCTTCCTAATATCTAACCCAAGGGTAGGCAACCCTCGGGATGCATGCCAGAGCACGGCAAGCAAAATCATTTTACTTGGCATGCGTGCCTCAGGCCAGACGGTGGGAGAGCCACAAGGGACCTGATCCTTGTTGTGGCAGTGCAGCCCCTTCCCCACCATCCACTTTGAGGGATGTGTGTAACCGCCATTGACAAGGAACTGGGCCAGGGCTCCACAGACTCCATGAAGCTGCTTGCAGCCTCCCCACCACCTGCTACGAGCACCATGGGCTCCGTGACAGGCACGCATACCTCAGGGCAGATGGCAGGGAAGGGGCCAGGGCTGCGCTGCCACAACAAAGATAGGGCCCCTCGCAGCTACCCTGCCATCCATCCCCAGCACGCTGACCCCTGATCTAACCTAAACTTCCCTTGCTGCAGCTTCAGACCATTGCTTCTTGTTCTGTCACCTGCCACCACTGAGAACAGTCCAGCTCCATCCTCTTTTGAACCCCCCTTCAGGTAGCTGAAGCTGCAATTAAATCCCCTCTCAGTCTTCTCTTGTCTGGACTAAAAAAGCCCAGTTCCCTCAGCCTCTCTTCAGAAGTTATGTGCCCCAGCTCCCTAACCATTTTCACTGCCCTCTGCTGGACTCTCTCTAATTTGTCCACATCCTTTCTGTAGATAGGGACCCAAAATTGGACACAGTACTCCAGATGTGGCCTCACCAATGCCAAATAGAGGGGGAATATGAGACTCTGCCAATTGGTTGCATAAGGGTCAGAACATACAAGTAGTATCTGGAAACCTGGAATGCCAGGAAGCACAGAAACTACTTTTGGACTTTGTTAATCCTATCTTAGAATAAATCATTCCAATGAAAGCTACTAATAAACAAGACTTTTACTGTTGTTCTGATCTTCATAACTGACATGAATAAAGTCTGTTTTTACGGTAACATCTGTGTAGACAAAATATCAGATGATTTACATTATACCAAGGACTTCATTCTGCAACAACGATCAAATATAATCAAGACACTGCTCTTTCCCAAGGATGCATCACTAAAACATTTCTTTAGTTCCCAAGCACATATTTTCAAATTCACAACCCCCCACGAGTGAAATAAAATAGTTCTGAGGCTTTAAATAATAGAGAATGTATATTCAATACAAATGCCTAGTGAAAATGTGATTAAATGTTATTCACTGTGCAAGACCAAGTTTCTGTGGGACAACATACACGTAGTTTTAAAGAACTCTATTCACCTGCAGCTCTTCCCATCAGTTTCCCTCCTTACACTCCATTTCTAATGATTTCCATTGAAAGCCCCTCAGTCTGTGTAAAACAACTGGTACAATGCATTCAGTGCTGTTCATATGACCTATGGGGAACTTCTGAAGCTTGCACATTCATGCATCTTGCAGAAATGCTGTAAAATTCTAGAAATGAACTTTAACTTGTAGATTAGATTCATCTGTGAAACATATTTAACCTTTTATTGGCATTCTTACATAAACACGGTGTTTATAACTTCTAGTAAGGAACCCTAAATGCTCATTTTAAACTAACAAGCCATAATCTACTTTTCACTGAAGAAACAGTCAGGTTTTTTTAAGATACAAAAAAAAATAAAAATTTAGGAAAAACAAACAAAAAAGATTTATCACCAGGGAACCTGGTTTTCTCTCATAAAAAAAAATCCCCAATTTTCGAATTAAAAAAAGTAACCCAAAATCCACATTTTCCATGATTAAAATGAAAGAGATGTTAAAAGGTCAAGACTAGAAAAGTTTTAAGACATTAAGACTCTGGAGGAGAAAGTTTTACTAGGCACAATATATAAGGAAATGTTTTTAGTTCATTGGAAAAAAAGAAAAATGTCATATTAATGTATATGAATGAATATGAATCCTTTGAAGTACAAACATTATAGTGTTGTACTACTATATAAAAACTAATTAAAAGCGATTAAAAATGGCCATGAACTCACCTGCCTTGCAATACATACGGGAAGACCCCCTGAACCCCCTTAATTTCACTGGGATTCTTTAGCCGCACATGAATAGCTTATCTATCAATCCACACCACACTGCATCCTCAAGAATAGAATTCTCAAGTTTTAAGTGAGCACTTTAAAAATGACTATTTTTTATAGTCAGGTTAAAAATGATTGAATTCTTTCCCCTCCACAGCAGCATGTGCAGAGGAATGAGAAAAGTCTCTACATCCACAGCAAAAGGAACCCATGCCTTTTCAACATTCTCCACCTGCCTCAAGGAACAAGTGAGGCTACTACTCATCATAAGGTCCACAGTACTGGGACATCAAGGGTTTACATAGGAAAATGAGAGCAACCAAGGAATAACTATGCAAATGTTGCATACTTCTTAATGCAGAGCGTAGGAATTCCCTAGCAGGGGTGCCATTTCTGACAGGACTCACTACAAAACACAAGAGTTGGCACATTTCTCTGCTTCCTCTCTCTCCTTCTCTGTGCACTGTAGTTCTGGTATCTGAGATACATGCTTTACTTTCTTTGGATTAATTCACAAAGTTATAATTTTTTTCCCCCTAAGAATAATGATTAAGAACTGAGCTGTTAAAAAAAAATCACATTTCTTAAAGTACTCATTCAACAAGGCCTTTAGGCTTTCCGTATTCCCCAGCTCTAGCAAAATAGTGTATTAGTGGTGTTGCAAACACTAGCTTTATTTTTGTAATACAGGTCAGCAATGAAATCCGCTTTACAGCTGTATGCGTATAGTGTAACCACTTAGGGAGAGCTGAAAATGCAAAACACCAACAAGGTCAGTCCTGCAAACAGGTGCACACAAGCTACAGAGAGCTTAGCACTTGCCCTAATGTGCTGGGCAGCTGGCCCATATGGTCTCATTTCAGTGGAGCAGAAACAGCCCAGGAAGGGGCTAGAGAGAAAGGCAGGATAGATTTGCACCTCACAGACTAACCAAAATAGAGGTGGTCTGATTAGTCTATAAGGTGCAGATCTACCCTGCCTTCTATTTAACTTCAGACTAACACAGCTAACAACACCTCTGTGCTAAAGGGCTAGAGAGGGCAAGGAAAAAGAGTGTGCTGCAGTCCCTTCCATCCAAGGAAAACCTAAAAAAATCCTGGCTTTAGCATCTTGAGACGCAAACACAGCAGCCTGGTTAGTGCCCAGCAGAGGGAACTCTACCAGGGCTATCTGGGATGTTTTGTTTTTGTACCTCCTAAAACTTAGGACCTCTAAACACATACCCTAAATAAGGGAAAATCTGCTTGGTCACTTGCTTTTTGTCTTTCTGGAGGAAGGGATGGTCCCTCTCCACCCTCCAGAAAGGATTCTTGCACCTGCTCAGATTTGGTTGTACTGTCAAGATGGATAATTCAAACACCATCTGGGTTTCCAAGGTATTCAAACAAAGAGGTTTCTGGCATGCTGCCCAGCCCCTGCAAAGTCTTCACACTGCATATCTGGCCAAGGGAGGAATAAAGCTGGGATCCAGATGCACAGAGTGGGAGAAGACGAGTGGGTGGGATCCTCTTCACCTCCTTCTCCAAGAAGTCTAGGGAAAACAAGAAGCAAGACTCTCTCCCTGCTGTGGGCAACCACTGTAGAAAGCAGGGATGAGCCATGGGTGATGCCACCTCTGTACAGAGCATGGAGTTTTAGCCCTGTTAATCTGAAGTCAAGTGGACAGCAGAGTAGATTTGTACCTTATAGACTAACCAAAGGTTAGCAAAGCATCTGCTTTCTCTTTAACTGGATAAATATGTGCTGTGTTATACGTGATGACGTACCACACTATGTGCCCAGCTCCCTTTTCAAAATCCTAGATCTGTCTATGCAGAGTAGATCTACAGCTATATCACCAGAGCAATATCTACCTTAAAGCAGATCTATAGCTATAGAGCGATAGACAGAGCGAGTGATAAAGTGAGCACTACAATATGACAGAGTGAGCTACAGTGATATAGTGATAGATATAATTGATAGAGTGAATGATAGTTATAGTTATAGAGCAAACGATACAATATGATAGAGAGTGAGTGACAGAGCAAGACAGTGATATAGTGATTGAGTGACAGAACAAGTGAGAGTAAGTGATACAAGATGATAGAGAGCAAAAGAGGAGTAGACAGTGATATAATGATAGAGCAACACAGTGAGAGAGCAATACGATAGAGCAAGAGTGAGTGACAGTAACAGTGATAGAGCAACTAATACGAGATGATAGTAAGTGCGAGCGATAAACCAAGACAGTGATATGGTGATAGATACGAGTGACAGAGCAAATGATAGCGATAGACCAAGCGATACGATATGATAGAGTGAGCGGGAGCAAGACAGTGATAAGGTGACAGATACGAGTGACAGAGCAAGCAAGGTGATGTGATAAAGAGCGAGCGAGCAACAGGGCACCACAATGACAGAGTGACTGATGGTAACGGTGACAGATACAGCAGGAGAGTGATAGAAAGAAACAGCTCTCGAGGGATAGGGCAGAGCGAGTGCGAGTGAGAGAGATGCCAGATACCGGCAGAGGCACAGCTGGACACACGGGTGCGGGCAGAGGGAGGGTGCGCCCGACCACAGGCTTTCCCGATCTGAAGCTCCCTCCAGCCGCGGCTGCGAGAGGAGGCAAAGGGAGAGGCCGAGGAGGAGGAGAGGAGCCCGGCTCCCCGCGGGCCGCACTCACCAGAAGAAGAGCCGCGAGCAGAGGTTGGCGCCCTGCAGCGGGTTGGGCTTCTCCGCGCGGGGCAGCGCCTCCATGCCGCCG